GAAAGAGCACGAGATGCTTGTACAGGTAAAATTTTCTCTCTCTTTTTTTTTTTTACCTCTATCCTCTCTTAGTTTTTGAAATTAAGATATATAACTTTGTAATGATGAAACCTTCTGCTGAAGACCTTGACTAGATTTGGCATGGAACTTTCCAAATGAGTTATTTAGCAATAGTCAGCACAACATTGTGATACTGTTTGCATCATTTACCCTGTGCACAAATCTCCTGAATAGTGATTGAACTGAGAAGGTGCTTTTTCTTTCACTAGTTGTTTGGATTCCATAAATGATCTAAAGTAAGATGGAGGAAACATTTGTTACTAACAAGATGGACTAAACATCTGTTTTCTTTTTCTATTTCTCTGTAGCTTTCTTTTGTTCCTTGTTTGGATCATATTCTTCTACAGACTACATAGAGGTAAAGATGTAGTGAGAAGAGTTAGTAATGCCATACATGTCCTTTTTTGTTCTTCAAAGCTTCTCTCACGCTACAGGTATTCTCATTGTTTAGATCTACGAGATCAAGATATTTGTTAATATGACTGAGTTAGCTGTGACATGTTTTCCCCCCTTTCTTATAGCTTGATTCTTTTGATGGCTCTTAATGGTTGATGGATATCTACTGGTAACTGTAATTAAGTTAAATGCTATATGGCTTCTTTCCTGAAAACTTTTTTATTCAGGGAACAAGTGGATTGCAGAATTTGCATGGCCTTTCCCTCTTTGGAAAAGAAAGTTTCATTAGTTTTAGTTTTATTGGGAGCTTGTCTGACTTACTTTTCCCTTGGATATTATAGATTGTTGTTTGACTACTTATGATGTTGTCTTCTTTTCCCTTATTTCTGGTGCAGGTGGCTGCCTTTATTCCTTTAATGTATATGTGTTTGTGCACATACTATTCCTTGTTCAAAATAGGAATGTTGACATTTTATTCACTGACTCCAAGACAAACAAGTTCAGTCAGTTTGCTTATGATATGCTCGTATGTCTCTTTGTTCTTTCTTTTTCTTTCTTACGGGAATTTGCAACCATTCTCTGCCTAATACTTCTTATAATAACCATGTAAATCATATTAGGATGGTTGCACGCTATGCTCCTCCTATTTCATACAACTTTCTCAACCTTATCCATCTTGACAACCGTGCAAAGACTATCTTTGAAAAGGTAAGTAACTGATCAGTATGTCATTTTGTTAGCTAGAATGTTTAATTCCGGGACATATGTCAAATTATAATCACATATTCGATTTTCTTGTGAGGCACAACCAGAACTCCCATTTGCCCATTTTGCATGACTTTGATTGGCTTTCATGAAGTTTTAGAGTTAGGGCTTGGATGACTTTTTATATTTGAATTTGTACATTTTAAAATAATGGTTGGACAATGTGGATGTCAAATAAAATTAAATAATGTAATATTATATTTTAAGAATACAAGATTACTATATAAGATCACAGGTTCAAGCCGTGAAAATAGTTTCTTGCAAAAATGTAAGGTAAGGCTGCGTACAATAAGACCTAATGTGGTTTGGCCTTTCCCCGGACCCCGCGCATAACGGGAGCTTAGTGCACCGGGTTTTCCCTATTAATCTTATATTTTAGTAAATTTTTTAGAAAATGTTGGACTTTGTCATGTAAGGGAGAAGTTATGTACTGAAACAGAAAACAAGTCAAATGAGATGAGACGAAGGAAGTGGAACACAACCACTCTGAAATATGCAGCTGTGTTTTTGCTTTCTTAGTTAGTATTCCATGTATGATTATAGGATTGCAACGAGAGAGAGAGAGAGAGAGATTACAGAGAAGCTACTTCAAAGAAAAGATTACAGAAAGTTGAAATGCGTACTTGGTTCCAGACCTACACTGTATTGATATATATATATATGTATATATATATTTTGCAGAGAGACCACGAGGGATTTGTTCTTTATTAGTATACTTCCCTTTAGCAAATATTCGGACACAAATCTTAAATTTCAGCGTAAATTTGGGAATTTAGGTGACATGGTGTAGTTCATAATATTCGTCAGACAAATAAATTATAGTTCATAATACTTCTAACTATAGCTTAATAAATTCAATTTTGCTATAATCATCCTTTTTGTCTTTCATGATGATCTAGGGCCATTAGAAGTTTAGAATAAAGTTAACCAATCTAGTTAATTGGTCAGTTTACTCAAGTTCTCTTGTCTAATCCTAATACTAAACAAATTCATCTTTTCCTAGTCCACTTGCAATTGGTAGTTGGATGCATAGACACAAGCAGGCACCGGGAAGTAATTAGAAAAAGGAGGGGGATGAACAGATATTCTGAACTTTGATAAGAAATTCGTCTTTCTAATTGACCAAGCAAGTTGATGATTTTGTCATTGCACTTATGCAGAGAATGGGGAATATTGATGATGCAGTCCCATTCTTTGGAAGAAATTTCAATAAAATATATCCGCTTATTATGGTCATCTACACCTTAATGGTTGCGAGCAACTTTTTTGATCGAGTCCTTAGCTATTTTGGGAACTGGAAAATTTTCAAATTCCTGAGTGAAGAGACTGATGATTTTGATGGATTTGACCCCTCAGGACTCATTATTGTGCAAAAAGGTTAGCTTGGCATTTATCCCTATGTAACTCATGTAATTGGAGTCATTTTTCCAAAATAAATTTGTAGCTTGGGTATTGTTTTTTGGAGAATGGAAGTCTAAAAGAAGACAATTTAAGACAAGTAGTTTAAACTTTATGCAAAACCAGGTAATGCACAAAATGACTTTGATTTCACTTCTCAGAACGTTCTTGGCTTGAACAAGGACATAAAGTAGGTGAGCTAGTTGTTCCATTGGCTAGGAATTTCCAAAATGCAAGCTTGGATCTTGAATCTGGCGGCAATAATATGGTATGTGATTCTCGGAACATGACATATTCTTTCCATCAGTGATCTGGAAAATATTAATTTTACAGATGTCTTATTTCTCACATAAATTTCTTGGTGTTTTACACTTTGGCGTCCACTGTTTTACAATTTTCACCTGCCTTGCAAATGATACTAAACAGGAGAACTATATTGCAAGGCAGGATTGGCACATTTAAAGCCTGTTTTCCTGAACTTCCAAAATTTGCTTAATTTGAACAGTACTTTTTCTCAAATAGAATTTTAGAAAAAGTACTTTTAGACGTAGCTATTTGTGATTGGCCAAATCATTTGAGAAGTATTATGGAAGCAGTTTTTTTTATAACCATGGTGCTCGGGCCAACTTGTGCGAACCTCGACTAATTTCACGGGGTGCATGCTACTACCTCCCCACTTGTACAAGTACTGAGTAACTGTGTCCAGCAAGGCTTGGACAGGTGGGATGAAACCACCTATTGTTTTTGCCTCCATTGGAATTTGAATCTGAGACCTCATGGTTCTCGACCCACTTCATTGACCACTAGGCTACACTCTCGGAAGCAGTTTATGTTTGGTTATTCTTTCCAAAATAGTGATGTGCTCTAAGTGTGCAAGCTTTTATTAGTTTTGCGGCGCATATCCACCGTGAATGATTATTCTTCTATGTTGCATCTGACTTTGGGTTTATATTGGTAAAAGCTCCAGGAAGCAAAACCATCAACAAGACAGAGGGAAGACGATAATGTTAGCCATTCAAAACCTCTAAAAGGAGAGGCACAATATGAGAACAGCAAAGAGGGGATCAGTGGAAAGTACAAGGCAAAAAGAGCAAGACAGATGAAGAGAGGAAATAGCATAAGTTCAAATGAGAAGAGCAGGGACCGCCCCTTGTCTTCACGGGACGAAAGCTCCATGATGGATATGCAAGTTCAACCTTCTAGAAGCTTATCCTCAACATGGAGATCAATGAAAACAGGTTTTAGCAACTTCAAGTCTAACATGGAATCAAAGGGATTCGTCCCTTTACATCAAGTTCAAGATGCAGGACACAGTCGTGCTTCCTCAACTGAATCCCTGGATGAAATATTTGAGAAGATAAAGAGGCCAGGTTCAGAATCTACAAACTATGACAGTGACGATGATGTTTACGAAATGAGCCTGAAAAGTTCAAAACCAAGAAGATAATATATGTAAAATTTTGTCAGAGAGCAGGCTACCAATTTTGTGCCAGAATCAGGATATTGGTTGTAAAGTTTGTTCAATATTCTTGTCTCTAAGTAGCAGGTTTCTGCGTTGCAGATCCTTTTGGCATCTGTTTTGTTGTAACGAGTATAGAATAGTCCCTCCTTTACAAATTACCATACAAGAAGCATAAGCCACAACTTGAAAACCTTCTTAAAGAGTTCGAAACATTGTTATTTGGAAACTCAAGTTTCTGTAACGACTCACGCACAGTTTCTGTAACACTCCCTTAAGCACTTGCTCTGTAGGAATATAATGAGACAATTGTGTACAAGCATATCCCGCTGAGCATCTATTGGAAAGCTGGTGATAATTTGTTGAAACTGATTAAATTATACGGAATGAATAANCCTTTCAGTTTTCAGGTATGCTATATATTTCCAAATTAATTAGAGTTGACTATATAATTTGCACTATTAATTGTGCTTCATTTGAACTCATTTCAATCTGTTATTTAATCATTGAATACTTTCTTAATTTGAAGGTCATCATTAATTAGTTTCAATTTATTGCAATCTTCTTCCTTTTAATAATACGAGCCCATATCAAAATAAACAGCGGACCAAATATCTATTTTTCTTTTCTTTTCAACGCGGACCAAATATCATTTCCCCTAAACCCTGCGGTACACAGTGCACACAAATTTTTCCCGCCCAAAATTCTTGGTACCCAAATTCCCGCCATACGCGCCGCCCACGGTGAAAGCGAAAAGCCTCTCCCGACGTGGGAAAATCCGATGGAGGGCAACGGTGACAGCAAAGAACTGGCGGCGTATTTGCTAAAGCACCACTCGGAGCAGCTGTGTTCCATCATTCTCTCTCCTGATCCTCGACTTCACTATCCGCTCCTTGTCGAGTAAGCAACACTACAGTATACTTCGCATCTGCCTCCGCAAAAATCCTGCTAACGAGTTTGGTTTTCTGAAACAGTTTTGCAGAGATAATGGATGATAATCCAACCCTTTCTCAGTTCATTTTCGCTAAACCCACAGAATATTTACCCCTTTTTGATGAAGCTGCCGTCTGGGCTCAGGTATATTACTTTACCCTCTTGTTCAAAATTCTGTATACTTAGATTAGTAATCTACATAATCAATGTTTTTTGTTGTCTTTGTGTAGAAAGTTATTTTGGGAGATCTTAAACAACGTGAAAACGCAAGCCTCAAGGACAACATACATGTTCGTATCAATATCAGTGGTTCTCCTCTTGAATGCCCTGGTTTGTTCCTTTTTTATCCCTTTTTTTCGCATTATTATTTTTGTTGGATTTAAGCTATATGTATGAATATTTTAAAGATTCTTCTATATTATTTGTGTAGTTTAACCGGTTGTAGAGGTTACCCCGGCGAATTTAGAGTTCAACTTGGGTAGTAGCTTTGTTCGGACCCGTATGTGTGTTTAAAAATTCAACAAAAAAGTACGAATAATTGGTTGCGAATTCAGTAAATAAAATGAGTTATGGTAATTTCCCAAACTCGAACCCTTAAAGCTTAAATCCTTGATCCAACGGAGGTTACATATCTTATTTTCCATATTACTGCCCCATGCTTACTTGTAGTTGGGTTTTGAACAACTTGATAGTATCTATCAAAAATCTTCTACTCCATCAGTGTAGATAAAATAAACCCATTATTGTTTAGGATTTAAATTATCTTACTGACTGTGTAGAGAATATTTACACTATTTTAACTGGTTATGACATGTTACTAGCCTTAATTACAATTTGTCCTCACTTTGCACAAGTACCTGTAATAGGCTTCCAAAATGATAGTGGGAAGAAATTTTATACTATTAGTGTATAAAAGTTAAACTCTATTGGTTATGTTCCTAATACTGGAATTTTTACAAGTTTCACATGTAAATGCACATGCTCCTATCAGAAAAAGCACATATTACTAGTATTCTTTCAGCTATTCCTTGCATATTTCTTTTCTATGTCCAAGTCATAAATCCTTCACTACCCTTGCTATATAATGCTTCAGTGCAATGTAGTTTTAAGTATACCTTGTCATATCACATTCTCAAAAAAATATACCTTGTAATATCAAACTTAGTCATTTTTTATAATGTTTTAGAGACATTTCCCAGCATTGGCCGTGTGAGGGTGAAGCATCGTGGAATGCTTCTTACTATCAAAGGGACTATAATCAGGTCTGGAGCAATGAAGATGATTGAAGGGGAGAGGATATATGAGTGTCGGCGATGTAAGCACAGGTTATCCTTGTGTGCCTCTCACCTAGTCATTCTGCTAGTTTCAATTCTTCCAACCAGGTTGAAAATCATAGAGATATTTTCACAAAGCATTAATGGAATCATTGATTTATTTTATCAAGTCTAATACAAACTAATCAAGGTAATTGGTTCTACCAGATGGAAATTAGTATGGCAGGATTCAACTGAAAAACGTCTTATCTTTGCAATTATAATTCCAATTTGCCAGAAAACTTTTATACTAGAATCGGATTGCCGTAGTTTTCACTTACCACAACTGTGCCTCAACCTTAGTCTCCTTTAGACAAATTATTTTCACTTCTTTGTCAGTGATATCTCTAACTAACAAAACAAATAGTTGCACCTGATAGACATAGAGATAGAGCCGAGTGACTAAGGGTGCTCATCTGGTGTTTCAACAATATTGGGTCGCCAAATAAGTGGCATGGGGTTGGTACAACAGAATGAGCAATTGCAAATTTAGCAGCAGATCTCCATGTTTCATCTTATATTAAAGATATATCTGGTAATTGTAATTGAATATGGATGATTCCCCTGTAAGACTTTGTGGGGTGCTTCGCATCCTTAAAAAGTTGAGCTCAGCTTTTGTTAATCCTTTATGGGGCCGAACTCAATACAGACATGCTTAATTCGATTGGTAGAGTCTGTATATTGCTCCAGTAGAATAATTCTGTTGGCTAAACTTCCGTTTTGTTCTGACTTCTATAATCATGTAGGATGTGTTTGGTTACTACAATAGGTAAAGATGCTTCCATTTCTATATAGGCTAAGTGAGTTGTGTAAGATATTGCTTGACATAACTAACTTTCGAACAGATTTATAAGTTAGGCTAAAACCTCCAATTTGCCAGAATTTGGCTTCTCAGAAGATATGCTTATGTCAAAAACAACTTCTACATCTCATATTGGGGCTTGCATTTCTCTGATGCATGAAACAAAATTTCTAGAAAGGTGATTTAGCTTGTTTATAACATAATTTTCTTAGACAACTCTTTATCACTCAGAGGTCAAAACGTCCGCACATTTTTTCTGCTTTCCTTTTAACTGGTCGTACCAAAAAATTCAATTTAGTCTTATGGCAAGATTACATGGTCAAGGTCTTACCCTATGCTAATCTACCCCTAACAGATTATTGGCTAAGAAGGAAATTTTATGTAGGTTCAAGGTTTATCCGGAGGTGGAAACTAGGAATTCAATTCCAAAACCAATTTTTTGTCCCTCACAGGTCTGTTCCCAACTATCCTTATTATTTTATTGCGTGGAAAAACACGCAATGCTTTGAATTTGCTAATATATTTTGTGTATCTCGATTTGATTATGCGTGGAATAAAAGCTCTTTTTAATCTTCTTTTGCTTTTGCTATACATCAGTATACATTCACATTTCCTTTAAGCCTTATCTCATAAGAGTAGGGTCTATGTGAATTCCAGCTAGATTCTTCTTTTGGATTTTGTAGTTACTTTTAGCTTTGAAAAAAATGGATGTTGCTTTGTGGCATTGTTCCAATTGATGCAATGAGATTGCACTTGGATACCTTTTTCTGGCAGCTTGTTAGCAATAACACAATGGGTGGGTTGTTTTGCATTTTTATGTTTTCTGGTTATGAAAATCACAAATATTAAATTTTTTAAAATAACATACTTAAATGTAAGTAAGCAATACCGCAAAGCATTTCAAACTATTTTAGAGTGGAAAAGAATACATTTTTCCCTATTAAGAACAAATAACAGGCATATTGAATTCTTTCTAGATGTTTACAGAGATTATCTTGTTGGCTTAGAGTTGATTCTGTAATTAGCTTTTCCGATTTCACGAATTTGCTGGGCTCTGTTACTGTGTAGTTTTTGTTAGAATCCTGATCCTTCGTAAACGTTTTGGTACCTTCTTAGTACTGTTCAATTAGATACTTTACCTTATAATAAAAAAGGACAGTCATACTGCATTCTTATGAACGAAACGTGCTTCGTACTTTAGCAGTTCTAGATCTGTCTCACTGAATTTAGGAACTTCACATATTCAACCATGTCAATTGATTTGATAGAGACTTTTGTTTGTACTAAGTATTCAACTAGAAGTAGATTGGTATGGGTAATTTTGCAAACAATTTGTCCCGACAAGAGAGGCTCTTTTTGGTTAGATATGAATTTCTACCACATTTTATTTTGAGAAACCTGATAACTAGCAACAGATTTGGCCAAGTATGAAATTTTGGAGTGTAATTTGTGGGCTACAGCAGAACACCCAGTGGATTAGTGCTGGTGAACTAAGCTGCCCCTTTGTCGGACCTTGCGCATAGTGGGAGTTTAGTGCACCGTAGATGAAGGAAGCTAGTCCTGCCCTTTGCCGGACCCTGCGCATAGCGGAGAGCTTAGTGCAGCGGGCTGGCCTAGTGCAACATGAGGAGATATTAACATAAGCTGCACTATACTAATGTTTGTATAATCAGGTTTCCTTTAATTGTCACATAAGTGTGAGAAATACAAGAAAATTAAGCATTAGAAGCTAAATATGTCCATAAATTGAGTTTATGGAAAAGAACTGGAATAGTAAAAAATTGAAATAGATACCAAACGTGGGACGAGTGAAACGTTTTGTATGGTATCCTCCTATATTTGAGGTATTGGATCATTTCCACACAACGTCTGAAATTAGAGGCAACATAATAAATATGACTATGTTATCTTTCCTTTACCTTTACCAAGTGTGCACTTTATCTGTGCTTTCTGTTTAAAACCCCAACAGACACTTGGTGCTTGTTTATGCTTTTCGCCTCTGATAACCATGCTGGTAACAGTAAAATCCAAACTGCTTCATAGATTATATATGCTTTGTTTTTTTTACTTCATTATTCAATCTTGAATTTCTATTCTCTACTTTTCTACCCTCATTGCATCCCATTCTCCATGTTGGTTTTGCAATAACTTTCATCCAGTTTGGTTTATCATTTTCTAAAA